CCTCCTTCTTTGCACTACAGGAGTCGGGGAACTTCACTTTAACAAGCTCCCTACGAGGACGTGCTTCTTCTTCCTAGGGTGCAGCCAGCCTGGCGTCCTCTATGACGCCCGTGCAATAACGCTCTGTATTCTCTGGGCGGGCCGTCACCTCTGAGCCCACCTGCATCACTAACTCACGTGGGAAGTACCTGAATCCGTGCCGTACGGATCACAGGGCTATGTCCTGACTCCTACCAAACTGATATTGCTCTCCCTGGACCTGGGCTAGACGCTCTATGTTCCTCGCCATGATCTGCATCTTCCCGAACAGGTCCGCCTGCGCCGCCATCTGCTCTCCCTGTTTCTTTACTTCTTCCAATTCCCTTGCCGCCTGGCTCACTACATCCACTCTCTTTTTCCGTTCCCTCATCAGTCGCAACTTCCACTCCATCCTCTTTTCATCCTCTATGGTCTGCCACTTGAGTGGGTCTTCCTCTGCATCCCACTCTTTCATGGCCGCCTCCTGCTCTTCCCTGGTTACATATATTAATGTCGCCTCCTCTTCTCCCAGGGATAAATTGGCCACCCATTCCGTAATCTTCTTCTCCAACGGGTCTTCCTTCACACCGCTGGGTTCTCCTCTTCCTCTTGTCCTTCTCCTCTCTACCGCTTCTTCTACCTCTTCTTCTACCTTTTCTTCCTCCTTTTTCAACCTTTCCAGTTCCTTTGCCATCTCTTCCGCAACCTTCTTCTTCGCCGCCTGTTCCTCAAGCGAGGCCTTCTTCTTGGCCTCCAACCTTCTTCTTCGCCGCCTGTTCCTCCAACAAGGCCTTCTTGGCCTCCTTCTCCCTTCTCTCCTTCAGGATGGCGGCGGTTTTTGCATCCTGTTGTGCTGTGTAAGGGCAAGTGCTCGTTCCCGTACGCGTGTCAACCATGGTGATAGACGCACAACCAAGTAACGGTTCCACTCGTCACCACTTAGACTCTCCCCCTAACAAAATCAGCTTAAGACCGACTCAATCTAAGGACCACAGGCTCCGTATAGAACCCTACCAACTATGGTCTCGAGCCTGGACTTTAAACCACAGCCATCACTACAAAACCTTTTGCTGATCAGGAGGCATTTAAGGAGATCCCCCGTAACTCCTCAGGAATTCTTTAACGTCGCAGACAGGACGACGCGATCATCAGCAGGTTCTCTCAAGACTTAGACGGCCCGTTGTGCAGCCCACAGCTCGGATTTTGGGCCTACCGTGCCACACCGAGTAGCCCGGCAGTCAGTACCGGTCCTTTGGAGGGTTCGTGTCCCCGGGACAGTCGAGTCGTCAAACACAGCCTTTAGCCCTACTCAGCCCGTGTGGGTTTGGTCAACGAGGCCCTATCCTTCATACACGGAGTCCTATCACCTGGACAGAAGAGACTCAATGCAGAAAGAAGAGACAGAGACTCAGACTCAGCAAGTACCATAGGGTGAGTGTACATCCATGGTGCAAGGGGATAGGCTAAGGGCCTGGCGAGATTATACCAACTCCAGCTTGGTCAACGTCTTGGTGAATGCTTGGTCAACGCGGTCAAACCTTGGTCAACGCTCCTGTCAACCGTCTGGTCAACACCCGGTCACTCCTGGTCAACACCGAGGTCAACCCTCAAGTCGGCTATGGCTGCCGGCACTTTCTTCCTCATCAACTTCCCTTCTCTTCACCTTCTTTGCCTGCCTTCTATCTCGCCCCTTTCTTCTTCCTTCTCTTTTTTTATTCTTTTTCACCCTCGGCTTTGTCTGTCTTCAACTTGGTTGTCCCTCCTTCCTTCTTCCCCGGCTATGTCTCCTCCTTCCTTCTTCGTCACTCCGTGTTCGAGCTCTGCGGGTATGGACGCCACTTCCTCTTGGACCACACAACCAATCTTGTATCGCTCAGCTCTCTCTCTCTCTCTCTCTCTCTCTCTCTCTCTCTCTCTCTCTCTCTCTCTCTCTCTCTNCTCTCTCTCTCTCTCTCTCTCTCTCTCTCTCTCTCTCTCTCTCTCTCTCTCTCTCTCTCTCTCTCTCTCTCTCTCTCTCTCTCTCTTCGTCATTGCCTTCGGTGCATTATACGGCACCTTCTTCTGCAGCGCAGCTATGGCGGACTTCCTTCTTCAACGGCGCTCTTCAACTATGGCGCCCTACGGCGCGCGTCTCTCTCCTGCTGCAATGGCGATGGCGCATGGGATAGCGGGTCAGCTCTGATACCAGTGCAATCAGACTCGGTTTTTTTTTCTTGCTTCACACGCATGCAAACAGGTGACACAGTAAACTGGCGATATGCGCCCAACTCAGAACGCAGAGATATGCAACCAAGAACACCGTTTGATTTCAACTCGCTTCAGATAGGCTATGGCGCAATAGCGCCCAACAACTCTTGTTCATCACTGTACTTGACTTCACCATTCACACACACTCAACTCTAGATCACCCTGGATATCCCACACGCAACACACTCTGTATACAATCACACACACATACTGCACTCACCTACAGCTATGGGGGCGCTAGCCGCTGTCACTACCTACAGCTATGGCTACGCTATCTCCTTCAGCCCACTTTGACTTCAGGCGCATCTGCAGACCACCTCACACAAGATGCTCAAGCAGCGCTTCCGCATGGCTTACGCAGGAATGAATGAATGACTGGTCGCTGCCTCTTGCTGTGTACTTCTGTAGCTCGTTGGTCTGCCCCTTTCCCATGCCCTGGGTGCACACAGTCCCACACGGTACTTGCTTGACTGGACCCTGACTGACTGGGACTGATACCACTGACTGCATGGGGACGTATTGCCAACTTGCTGCAGTCGCACTGCCGACGTACTGCAGCTGGCTTCGCCACTTGCCCACTTGCCTCTGTCTAAACGTGAGCAAGCTCCGAAAGGCCACTTCCGGACCTTCCGGAAGTTCGTAGACTTGGCCTTTCGGTACCGTAGCAGCTACGACCTTGACCTTTCAGGAATACAGCAGCTACGACTTTGACCCTTCGGAGGAGCCACAGCTACGACTCCTAGGACCTGCTAAGACCTACAAACGACAGCTCTACATACAACCTACGGACCTACGACAGCAAGTCACGGGTTCAACTCTCAGGGTCGACTCAGAAACTGTACACAGGTGAAGTGAGGACTAGGGATCGAGCCCTGGGACCTGCATCGGCTACTGCAAAAGGTGGAATCCGTTTCAATGACCTCCTTGATTTCCCTCAGCTGTGGGAGGAAAGTGGAAAATTTGAGTGTCGCACAAAGTAAGTCGGTCAATAGTGAATGATGCAGAATTTGGCATTGACTCGATGCCAAGGATGATCTAGATAGAAGGATGGAGAAAACTGCGTGTTGAGTTGTCTTTGGAGAAGAGGTGAAATGGGGTCAATTTGCATGAGGGAGAAAATTGTGTGTTGTCTGCGGAGGAGAGGCGGAATGGGGTCCAGTTTGCATGGGATCCTTTGTGCTAATGATTGGAAGCATGCATTGCTCCAAGAAGATGGGGGTTACACATATTAAGATTTTGTCAATTGCTGGTCTCAATTGGTATTCCTACATGTTCGAAGTCCTCAGCAAAAGGGACTTTTCAGGCAAACACGTTTTGGAAAGAGGAGGATGTGCACTAGTTTGCTGTAAGTATGGGACATTGCAATTGCACAAGAAATGCCACATGTTTTTGGAAGAGGAGGATGCACTCTAGTTTTGTTACTAGAGCATGTAGGGATGCCGATCTCAGTCGCAGTGACCCATCTCTTTGCAAAACGTTTTGGAAAGAGGAGGATGTGCACTAGTTCTGGAAGAGGAGGATGTGCGCTGCGACTGAGGTTGGTATCCCTACGTTTTTGACGACATGCAATGAGATCTTTGAGTTGTTGCGTTAATGGGTCGCTGCGACTTCATGAAATGGGTATTTGCAACGGCATGACTGCTGCTGCTGCTGCAGCTGCGCTGCCACTACTGACACCACTGCTGCTGCTGCGCCTATGCTGCTGCTGCTACGATTGGTCCTGCTATTGTTGTGGTCACTCCTGCTTACTACTACTGATGCTGCCGTTCCTGCCGACCCATACCGCTGCTATTACTGCTGCTGCAACTGGTGTTCGTGCCACTGCTATTGCTGCTAATGCTGCTCCTGATACTGCTATTGTCACTGATGCTACTACTATTGCCGCTGATCGTACTCCTGCTGCTGCTGCTGCTTCTCCTCCTCCTCCTGCTGCTACTGCCGACTGTTCTTTTTCGTTCCCTCGCCCCATTTTTGCCTTTTTTTCTTCGTTTGTTTTACAAAGATGATTTCAGTTGATTGCTCTGCGACAGCATTGTACGTTGAAACAGTTGAATGCTTTAAATTACCAGCAGTGTACTCTGCTTTCTCTTTCAGAGGTTCGGGAGCCTCGCCGTCCAATCCCCATGTTGATCAGTTGATTGCTCTGCGACAGCATTGTACGTTGAAACAGTTGAATGCTTTAAATTACCAGCAGTGCACTCTGCTTTCTCTTTCAGAGGTTCGGGAGCCTCGCCGTCCAATCCCCATGTTGATATGGGATGGTGTCCACGGAAAAGGGATAATATGGGTGCTCACAGTTCAAGATTCTAAATGGCAGTAGAAATCTCATCTTGTGCAGCGAAGGGACAGTTCGTCTCATGGTGTCATCTCAGGACATGTTATGAGACACAGCGTGAACGGTGAACATTGTCAGCAAGCAAAATTTTGCTGTGTAGTGAGGTGGACATAGGGACAAGAGGATGCCATTGAGAATTATAAGTTAACTGTGGGACTGTCCTCAATTCTTAGCCAGTGCTGCTGAAGAGAATGTGGGTGTGTGTCTGTGTGTGGGTGTGCACGTCCTCCTGTGGCGACAATATTTGATGAGGCGATGTGTGGTTAACTAGTGCTTCGTTTGGCACAATAGGATGTTGTCTACTTTTGCAAAAAGGGAACACTGCCAAAAGGCATGACTGATATCTGTAACTGTAGCCAACTCTCCGGAACTGGAATGGTTATGATCCTGTTTGTGACAGGTGGGCGATAATGTGGGTGACTGTGCAGCCCGTGGAGCTGATCTCTTTGAGAGCGTCGCTGCAGAAATCATCAGTGCAATGATTTTGGGAGGGACCATGGCTAGAAAGTGCAAGATTGAAGGTAAAGCCTTGCCCACTATCTGTGCTCGACTCACCCTTTATCTTGAGAATGATTGACATGGCTTGAAAATATGGTTTGCTGCCGCTCTGTGTGCTGAACCTGTCAATGAATCACCCTAACGTCCTGTGAGAAGCAATTGATTCTTTGGACATGTGCCTGCTGCAAAAAGAGTTCTCCTGGGCATTTCTTCGCGTTGAGCTGGTTAATTCGAATTGTATGGTAGGCATGGGCTTCCAAGGAATCAGAGGGCTGTGGATGAATCCTGCATGAGCCAGACCTTGATTACTCTGCAAGTGTTTTTGGAGGGAGCTCTGAAAATGGAAAGTCCGTCAACAAATGAGAAAGAATGTCATCGTCCACAAAGCTTGGATAGCGACTGTACAAAGCGAAGGTTGCTCAAAGATGACATCATCCTGATCCCAACGGAAGCTTGCAGTGGAAAAGTGGAGAAGGGACCAGTCAGGACAATTCACACGAAGACTCTCTTGTCCTCAGATGCTGCAGTTGATCGCACTCCTCTATTTGTCATCGATAACAGCAGTCAGAAAATTATTTGCCCAACGGCCACCTGGCTGCAGTAGCTAGGGTCACTTGAGTCCCCTACCCTCTGTCCCAGCGTCACCGCTCTTCCTGGTCTCCTCTCGTCTTCAATGTTGCAGTTGTGCACAAGCCCAACCAGATGCCCCATGAGCATTGGGCTATTATAGTTATGGTGCTAGCGCCTCTTCTCTGCACCTACATGCACCATCAGTGTTGTGGTGACATACTCTTAACCAAGGTAATGGTATGCTTCAGAGTGGCCTAGGTGAGTGCTCCAAAATGTCTTCAGAAGGGAGATAGATGCAAAGAAGAAGATTTTGAGGTGAAGTTTGGACCTTGACTCTTCTGGATGAGAGAAGCACTGGTTTTGGTTTTGGGTTGCTATTCATGTGAAATCCTGAGATGTTCCCGGCTGTCTACAGCAGACCGTTACCGCATGCTACTTGTTGGATGTATTTTGACAATAGTGCCTCAAAACCCACACCTTTTGGTGCATAGAGATGTGCAGCAGATGGACAAGAATGACAGAGGAGTGGTCCCTACTCTCAAACGGGTAGATCAACCTGAATATCTTTTTTCCTCTGTTGTTCCCGAGCATACTTGTTGTGATCTGATAGTATGATACATGCCCAGTTGGGCAACGAGTATGGAGCCAAGGATCCGCAATGTGATGGAAAGTACTGAATGGGCAATGCACTGTCAGTGAAACATCAACAAGCAATGTACATCCCGATACATACAAAAAGGCACAAAGTAGTGCAGTGGAAGACTCAAAGATAAGTCCTAACCTGACTAGGACTGACACGACATCCCATAACACACCACACAGGAGAGGAGGAGGGACCTGCATACATGGAAGAAAGGTCCCTCCTTGACTGCACACATGGGGGAGATACCATGGATGGGAGATGGCTGGAGAGGCGACACGAAGAAGGGGGCGAGGGAGAAGACCAAGATCGCGGTAGCGAAGTCTAAAAATAGTCCCTTGCCAAATGTCCCATCAATGTCTGCCTCAAAAATGTCGGATCAGATCCCAGGTGCTACGCCCGTCGTAACCTCTGCCTGTATCCTCTGCCTGTAACCTCTCTCTCTCTATCTGAAGAAGAAGAAGAACAAGAAGAAGAAGGAAGGAGGGAAGAGGGTGCTACGCCTGACGACGAAGAAGAAGAAGATGTCGTCCTCCTCGCTGTCTCACCTGCGGGTAACTGCTGCCGTGCACTGACCGCCGCGTTGTCGTCGTCCTGTGCAGGTAGCGCGGAGCGCTATGGCGCCAGGTGGGTCCGCCGCTGCGGGTATGGCCTCCGCCCCTCTGCCTCCTACGCCTCTTCTACCAACCTCCAGCGCAGCGCTAAGCAGCGCAGCGCCTAACCAGCAGTGTGTCGCTCAAGACGTGAGCTACTCGAACTGTCCTCTGCCCAGGTCGTGGCCCAGCTATATACCGCGCTGGGCCCTACTGGGTGGGCTGCTGTGGGGCCTAAAACGGCTCGCACGGTGGGGGCCCTTACCGGGTGCCCAGACCGTGCTGCTGATGCAGCAAGCTGCAAACATGCGCCTGGGCCTCTTTCGGCCCTGCCTCTGGTGCACCCAGCCCAAGGCCATGCCTTGGGGACTGCAAGTCTGAAACGACGTCTGAACAGACAAAAATGGGACAGCACATACATACATACATACATAATAAATAAATAAATAAATAAATAAATAAATGAGTGCTGCCTCAAATTGTACCTGTGGCCCGGAGGGTCGCCGTGGGCCTCCAGGGCCTGTGTCTGATGGGCATGCGGCCTTGGGCCCCCTCAGCAACTGTCGGGCCCCTCAAATAGGGCCCGTGTGCAGGCACAGCATGTAACACCCCCCGCTCCTTATGAAGTCAAGCCGGGTCGAGGGCGAAGCTGATGACCTGAAGGTGGAACCTGGTCGCGAGCGAGGCGTGGAACCGAAGATGCCGGCTTGCCTTGCAACTTGTGTTCGTAGCGTGTGAGAACGTCTGGAGCTGTGCTTGAAGTTCCGCAAGGGTCAACCAACGGTCGGCTTTGTGAGTGCAGTACGAAAATGCCCAGTCGGCCTGTTGCCGTAGCATCGCCAACCTCTTGAAAACCGTCCATAGAGGGTGGGTCTTGCAATCATCACCCGGGAAAGTCATCATGTTCCGCTGGAGTGAAAAAATCCCACTTGGAACAATGAAAGACCAGGTAGACGGGCAACTGGGCGGGCACCTGGATGACGAATGAAGGTCCTTCGGGTGCATCCCCAGCGGGTGCCACAATCTGCCAGGGCCCCATCCATTTTGGGAGGAGCTTGGTAGAGATATGTTGTTCGAGGCTGAATTGACGCTGGTGATTGGCCTGATGGCTCATGCGTTACCGTGACTTTGACATTTGGTCGCGTGCCTTGACAAGTAGCTCTTGCATCCGACGCAAGAAAAGAAGATGGTTGCCGCTCTCGGCCGCCCGTGGGATGATCGTGTCCAAAGGAGAAGTGACCGGCGAGCCATGCTCGAACTCGAAAGGCAACATCCCGATAGCCGGATGAATGGATGTGTTGTAGCCCAAGTCAACATCCGGCAGCCGCTCAACCCAATCCTTTTGGTAGTGACGGATGAGGGTGCGAACGAGAACCTGTGCGGTTCGATGCTCCCTCTCGGTTTGACCATCGGTTTGGGGGTGGCGAGCCAAACTCGGCTTGAGAGATGAGCCCCATCTTTTGATGAGCGCCAACCAAAAAACGGACATCAACCAAGTGTCGCGGTCGCAAAAGATTTCCTTGGGGTAACCCTTGGTTCAAATCCAACCGGCTTGGAGAACCTCGGCCAACTCCGGTGCCTTGGCATGATAACGGCAAGGCAAAAACATGGCGAACTTGGAAGGTTGGTCGACCACCGTGAGAATCCCATCCACACCGGTCTTGTGGTAGGGGAACAACCCGGTGATATCCATGGTAATCGCTTCCGTTCAGCACAAAGGGACCGGTAATGGTCGCAACTCGCCATACGGATGATGATTGCGGGATTTGCAGCGTCGACAAACCTCACATGACTGACAATAGCGTGTGACGTCATCGAGAAGGCCGGACCACCAAAAACACTCGCGAAGTCGGCCAATTGTTCGATTGACTCCAAAGTGTCTGGTGGCGGGAACGTCGTGGAACTCGCCGTGAAGCCGCGTACGCAAGTTGGATCCGATTGTGGGAGGGTGCCGGATTAGGAAAGGAACAATTTGCGTACTTGTCGCTAAACTTGGGGTCGGCTGGGTAGCCGTGGATTAAGCTTTCCCACAGGTCGTTATCGATCTCGAAGGTCGAATAGATTGTGGTGCAATGATCCGGATGCCTCAAAAGAGCCCGGCATGTGGTTGGGAAAGAAGTCAAAGTGGTCGATGAAAGCCATACAACGGGGGATGGTGCTGTTGACCGTGTCTTGGGTCTTGTAGAAGACAACCGGATTGTTGTCCATAACCCATCGGAATTGACTTCTACCAAGAAGAAAGTGTTGCCACAGCTTGAGCGTGTGGACGAAGACTAGTGGCTCCTTCTTCCGGGCATCATCGATTGAGTGCACGACGGACACTTTCTTGCTGAAATACGCGACCGAGTGCCTGTCCACGCCATCGTGTTGCTCGAGGATGGCACCAATGCCATGGCTGGACACATTGGTAGTGACGCGTGTTGGCAATAGTGGGTCGTAGGTGCGCAAGACCTTCGCGGATAGCAAAGCGGCTTTGAGGGCCAAAAATGAACCCCACACATCTTACCGAAGTCGAACGGCGATCCTCATATTGAAGCTTGGTCAAGTGGGCTGCGATCTTCGAATAACCTTTCATAAAATGCTGGCAGTAGCCGGCAAGGCCAAGAAACGAGCGGACATCCGTAACGCTGCGTGGCCCTGGCCACTCTTGGACGACTTGAATCTTGTCGGAAAAAAAAAATTTGCCCAAGTATTCCAACTCTTGCTGAACAAATTCGCACTTGTCGCAATTGGCTTTGTACTTGGCGCGGAGGACCATTTGCAACACTTGTTGAAGGTGCTCAAGATGATCCTCCAACTATAGACGAGAATGTTGTCAAAGTAGATCAGCACGAACTGGTCCAACATCGCACAAAACTCGTTGGTCATCGCCGCTTGAAAGGTCGTCGGGGCATTGGTGAGGCCAAAAGGCATAACCACCCATTCGAAATGCCCTTACCGTGTCTTGAACGCGGGTTTATAGCGATCATTCGGGCATATCAAAATCTTATGGTAGCTCGACTTCAAGTCCAACTTAGAAAAGTACTTTGCGCCTCCCAAACCCTCAAGAAGATCGTCCATACGAGGAAGAGGCCCCACATTCTTGACGGTTTGCGTGGTTAGCTTGCAGTAGTCGATGCACAACCACAGATCCTTGTTCTTCTGTACGAAGAGAACCGGCGCACCATATTGTGAGCTGCTAGGGCAGATCCAACCCTTATCCAATAAGTCGTCGAGCTGC